GAATTATAAAGCCTAACTTGGAGAGAATCATTGTTTGTACAGGTACTACTTACTTTTGTCAGCTTGAGCTTGAAGTTCTCTCAACTACTGTATGCCTAAAAGTCATCACAAACACTGCAAGAAATAGCCAAAAGCAATTATAGTGTTATTGCTTCTAAATGAAGGACAAGCTCGAGGACAATACACAAAGTCAGCATAGATCACAATTGTACTTGAAACTTGTTTACTCCTAAATATATAAAATCATGCTTGCTCCTGTATATGCCAAGCTAACCACTCCTATACCTTATAAATTGCCACCCACACTTCCGTGGAAACACACATTCATGGAATGTGTATTTCACTTGGACTGTATGGGTCTCTAACCGCGGACCCCACGCGTGTGAGGCCGTAACGCTATCAACTAGACTATGAGCAGTCTTAAAAGGAAAGTTTTCAGAAGCAGCATCCTGCTGCAGCCAACATCTTATATTCACCCATGTAACAATAATGCCTACCCCTGCATGTGCCTTGTCTACCACCCCTGTAGATAAGCCCAGTATCATGTAACAGGGCTTGAAAGGGTCAGGCTATTCAAGCCATGACAACAAGTACATCATAATAAAATTTCCAGAAGCAAGAACGGGCACTTTAAATTAATACAATTAAACATGAAATTGCTTTCAAAATTAAATACATAACATTGATCCTAAAATATATTAGGAAGTAACAATATCAAAAAGCATCAAGCCCAGATTGCTATACACTATAGCACTATCTTTGGTACAGAGTATTTAAGTTCCCAGATAGCATTAAAGATGCAAGTACAGGAGCAGAAAGATATAAGGTGGGAAATGTTTAAGGAGGCATATTCCCCCAAGGATTTTAGCAATGGACCAATAAGTAACATCGAGTAACATTATGTCACCTAAGACAAATTATAGGATATGTTTCTAGTCATCATGAGATCATCATATGTATTAAAATCCAGTTATTTTGAAACCATAAAATGTAAAATTTTGATCTCTTGCATACAGTACCATATGCAATTAAAATTTAAGATTTATTATAAAATCATTGCATAAGTAGTTTCTCTTCATAATACAATAGAGCATTTCTACAGACTACTAACCTGTATATTTTACTCTACTTCCAACTGACTAATAAATGCATCATGTTATGAGAAATGAGAAATCTGTGAACCCAATTCTGATCTTTCAAAGTTTACACACACAGTTTGCAACCCCCCTTAAAAAAATTATATATTAATACAAATGAAAGATATAAAGGTTAAAACTTACTTTACACATTTCAAAACCTCAGTAAAATACTGAGCACATACTGATCTATCAAACTATTGAAAGAATAGTTTGTAAAGTCTTAAACATCCTAGTCCATGTAATTCTTGTTTTCTTTAGCTGGTCAACATCAATAGTGATCATAAAATTAAAAAGCCTTATTAACAATGTATATCTGTATAATACTTTTACTATTAGATATAAACTTTCATTATGAATACACATGCAAAGTCTGTAAGTGTAGTGAAATGCTGCTTTCCAAGCCAGTAACCCCAGATGCTTTCTTGAGCCAGGAACCACTGGGACCACACCAGTATAATGTCACTATGCTAGATACTTGTCACCCTTTCATTATCCATTATTGTTTTATCAGGGATAAATGAAGGTAAGGAATATAATGGTAACTAACCAGTCTGTAAGGGTGAAGGCTCGAGCTATCCTGAAATACCACACAGTGCCACCATTGGAGAACGGTTTGATGGTCGGGCAAATGAACCAGGTCAGGTTCATTTGCGCCCGACCATTGCCCGACAGCTGGCTGGACAGCGCTTCAGATTCGTAGACCTGAGGTCCCGGGTTCGATCCCTGGTAGAGGCGGAGACAAATGGGCAAAATGTTTTTTTCACCCTGATGGCCCTGTTACCTAGCAGTAAATAGGTACCTGGGAGTTAGACAGCTGCTATGGGCTGCTTCCTGGGGGTGTGTAACAAAGGAGGAGGCCTGCCCAAGGACCGGGCCACGGGGATGCTAAGCCCCGAAATCATCAAGATAACAAGATAGGGTGGAATGGCAAGAACCACAATGTAGCACAGGAACTTCATTTTTTTGGCCATGAACAAAGGAAGAGGCCAAAGGTGAACAAATCTGGCCCCTGCACCATAATCCAACCCTGAAGAATGCCAAAAGGGTGTGAAGCTGATCTAACCTATTACCAGTAGCCAAAGCCAACAAAAATACAGCTTTTAATGTCATCTTCAATTAACACTTTCGCCCGGGCATGACGCAGCATTGCATCATCCGTTTACTGTTGGTAATACCGGGGATGACGCAGCATTGCGTCATCCACTTTAAATAATCGCCAAAAATCAGGTTTTTTCCGATTTTTTGGGGACTAGTTTTAAAATGTGCGCCGATGTCTTCCCATTTTCTTTGTTGAGCCTCGTGGCCCTCAGGCGGCTTGGCACACGTCGTGGGCCCATTGTTTTTGCCCCACTGTTGTGACCAATGGTGCCTCCCCTTGCATCTCAAACGTGTGAACATTTCGACTATTTTCCGTGGCTATATTTCTTACTGCGGCTTTAGAAACTATCTACGCTTACTCCACGATGGATAGTAATCATGAACAAGGCCCTTCCAGGAAGAAAATTGCGAAAGAAAGGCTTGAAAAGGGCGGGAATTGGGAGTGTAGCAGGAAGGCGTCTGAGCGCTCACTCACGGCTAACGCGTGGCCCGTCTTCAACTCGTCGGCGGTTGGAGCGTGACCAGGTTTTTTATTTTATATGCTAATGTTCCTCTAGAGAATTTTATTACGAACCCATTGAGACCAAAATGAAAGACCTAGGACGAAAATTGAGGTGACCAGAGTGAAAATAGTGAAAACATTTTATCCCGTTTGCGCGCCCCCGGGTAACTCGTTCGCACTTTCTCTGTTTGCTGCGGGTAATTAGCCGGGCTTTTGGAGTTTATATGCATTTAGTGCTGTAGAGAATTTTATTGCGAACACAATGATACCAAATTTAATCTCGTAGAAGGAGAATTGAGGTGACAAAGTTGAAGAGAGTATACACTTTTCGGAATTAACGCACGCTCCCATGACACGCTGGGGCCCATATCGCACAGTTGAGGGGTGGCGCGCGGGGTGAGCGAAAGTGTTAAGGGAAGAATTAAAAACCTCTGGGAGAATATTAAGTCTAGAATTAAGTCCAATGACCAGCATTGTTTCAAATGACTGGCAGGGCAAAGATGGAAAATTCTACAGCCAAATTTGATAAAGGAAGCAGAAAAAAGATCACCTGCAAACTCCAATGACAATGGCTCCTCAAGATGTGAATCATAAGAGGCAATAGTGTTGGGCATGAGGCCACATTCAAAACAACCAAGAAAAGGGCTTTACCACAAAAAATGGTAAGACTGATCAAGCACAAAATGCACAAGTGCAATACTACCTCATACTGAAGTGAGGAAGACTTAAATAATGAATAACTCTCATCTGTCTCCCATAAAAATAGTTGTAAATTAGCCATAAAAACTCCAAAAGCAAAGGTTGACAGCACAGCAGAGTCTAAGCAGCATTTGAAGCCGGCTCTCTAGGAGAGATGATGGGCAGGGAATGAGGCTGAGTAAGGAGCAGAAGCTCAACACATACATGTATAATTCATAAATGCTCAAACTAATGTAAATTTAATTCATTTTCTTTTTGTCAGGGACAGGCAGCCTAAGTATATATATTCATTGTGCTTATATCACGGGGACTTTCCCCTCCTTCCCTCCTCCAAGGTCTCTAAATGACCTTCTCCAGAAGGCAAACCCCACAACAGTTGCCAAACTCCTGGGTACCTATTTACTGAACAGCAGCATTAAGCAAAAAGAAATGTGCCCAGCCATTTCTGTCCCATCTGGGATTCGAACCCGGGATTCCCGATTGTCAGTAGAGAACAAACCCAGCTGTACTACAGAGATCCTCATACTGGGCTTCATATTTAGCAGTGTTAGAAGCAAGACATCTGATATTATTCTTCAGTTTTTTTCTGGCTATATTAGCCCAATTAGATGTTGGAGTTCAGCTTTGGTCACTATATTGTGTGGGGAAAGTAACTAAGCAAGTAAGGGCAAAGTAAGTGGGCAAGTAACAGTGTAGTGACTATGTGTACCATTACAGCTGCTCCTGGTCTCTGTAGACATGCCCGTGGGGTCAGACAAGTACTGGGATCCTTGGTCATGCAACTACTAAGAAGGGGCAGATGTACATGAGAAAGTGCTCGTGGTTCAGATGTTAAGAGAAAAACATGTGAACGCATCTTTGTTTAACTTTTTCAACATTTACTGGTCACTCTAATAAGTGGATAGTGGTGTCGAGTGATTTTATGAATAGGACAAAAGATAACGGCTTTGAAGTAAATTAATGAGAGGAGTTGCTTAGAGTTTCTACAACGTGCCTTAGGCCTGTCATCTTCCGAGGACATATGGTTGCGTGATTCGGGTGTAGTCTGACCTCTGAGCAAGGGGTTCAATTAAAAATTACCTGTCCTATGAATTATTACAGCAGGGGATCTCAACTTAAGTCTCTTGTATCCAGTAATAAATAATGTGTAGTAACTTCCTTCATCTTGTGAAATATTTAGATTTTTTGATTTTGAACCTTTATTCATAAAACCTTGTACAATTTGTTACAATTCTGGCTGGACTGAACAGGTGTATAGCAGCACTCTACTTGGGAATTTAATATATGTAATTAATGCCAAATTACATCATGCATGTTATGCTCAAGGTAATATAAAGATGCTGTGTGTGTATATTATCACACCACAGGGAAGTGAGCCATGTAGTAGGGAAGGAGTTGGTGGAGGAGTCATCAGCAAGTAATGCAAGTATTATGAACTCAGTTGGACCTAGTCATTAAAGAGTTGCATAGGTTGACAAGCAATTGAATCAGATTGCAAACTTATCTTTATGCAACATACTTGATACATACTGGGGCATTGTAGGGGCTTGAATAAACATTAATCGAAAATACTTGCACTATTTAATAAAGTAAATTTAAAAACTTGTGCATTTAACTCATCCAAATTAAGTCCTCTGTTCTACCAAGCTATAAACAAATATATTTAATAACATCTAAACCCAAGCAGCTCGAGAAGTTGGCTTGCATCGTGACAATAATGTGATCCACAAAACTACAAGTGTACGAAAACAGCTTTTAAAAACAAAATAATATAGATACACAAAGATGAGAGTAGACTATCAGCATATAATAATATCTACAAATAAAGTCTACTTTCATCTTGGGGTTTCTATATACACGTATTATCATCACTGTGTACTACACTCCCACTATCAAAACGAGATGTTAATAGAATTTTCTTCTGCATAAAGGTTAGCTGCAACTTAGTCTCTGATCAATCCACTTAAAGTGCTAGTGATTAACTCTAAATCCCCCCCCCACCCCCCTCAGTAGAATTTCCTGCCTTTATGCTACTCTATTCCACAATGCTTAAAAAAACAAACACAACTTATTACTGAAGACATCACAGTTTAAATTAAATCTATGCCAACAGTGCATTACATTCTGAAACAAATTATGTTCAGATGATACTAATGATACTTTTTGTCTCGATTTGTGCACATTATTCAACTTTTCCACAACTCATGCTATGATAAGATACACAAATGCAGGATATTTCTGCCAAATACATGAATATTCAAGAAAAATCTGGAGGCTTACTAATCAAAACAATCTTGCTCAAGTTTCCTCCTGCTCCATGAACAAGAACTATTCGTTATCCCACCCACATGTTACCTCACTCACAATTGAAGTACAGTACTGTATATATAAATGCATTTTGAGCTGTTGATAAATTTTCAGTGATAAGTATAGATAAATACAAGATCTATGATGATTAATAATTGATAAATACTTAAGTTTTAAGATACCACTGAATGATTCCAATGTTATAAATGCTATTGCTGACAAGCAATTCATATACAGAAACCAATAAGCTGAGCTACAAAGTAAACCTCTTCCAAAGATGAACCAATTTAGTGCATTACAACACTAAAACTACTTAATAATTTCCTAAGTTTTAATGCCACAAAAAGTATGACATAGTCAAGAGATCTTGGCTCAGTAAATTAAACAACACGCGATTCAGGGCAAATAGAACCTGCACCGGTCAAATTATAAAACTATTTCACTACGATAAAATGCTGCACTTTGCATCAAGATTCCGTCCAGAATACAAAATAAGTGACCTGGAAGGCCTATCACGCTGGACACACAAAGCTCACCAGTGTTTATACAATAAAATACTGTAAACCTAACCTAAAGTGAGCACATGTAAAAATCACTATAAATAACTTAACAAGTAATTCGGTGAAAAATTTGTGTCCATATTTTTTGTTAAAACTAAGAACAAAATGTATGTTCATAGTGTCAAATCGTAAAATAACTCGCAGTGCTTAAATTTCCTTGACTTTCTAGACAATGAAAATAAACTGACTTGGTAATTTACATTTTACCATAAATATTTTTAACTAAATAATTTAGTATCACTTTGGATGCCTTAATTCCTACCAAAGTTCATTTTAGTAATTCCTACAAAAACAACAACTTTGAACATCAGTTGCCACATTACAATCACTGTCAAATGTTGTACACAATCTGTATCCTTCAATTTATATTTGAATAACTTAATAATCTACACTATCATTCTAGTGGCAAAGTTGGAAACTATACCAACACAAGATTAAAGAAATATAAATGTTTAAATCAAAGCTTCATCACCAGTCAAAAGTATATCCTCAGCTTAGAGTACTATAATACTAAATCATGATAAGTTTTAGCACTACCTCAGCTGATTGGTAAAAAATTCCACAATAAAATTATCCCATAAAATAATCCATGAGCATCACACCGACTTCATTCACTCACTAGTTATGACACGTCAATTATCACATATATAACATTTCCCCAACATTATGTAATTATAATCCTCCTCAGATCCTCAACTATCAACAGTTGTTATAAAGTCCTCGGAAATAATGGCTTGGACGATATAATTATGTACGATATTGCACTCACACACAAGCAAGCGGTCACCAAGCAGTTTTCCACCATAAAACCAACGCTGACGGCTACCATTCAGGCTCTCTTGAATCTGGAAAAGATAAGTGCTGGTAACAATCACAATGTCATACAGACCAAAACAGCAACATGTACGACTACTGCTCTGGAGTCGGTAAAGGTATTAATCTATTAATCTAATCTTACAAAATGTTTTCCTGTCATGTTCACATGCAATCCTTCAAGATAACTGTATAATCCTATAATCCTTTTTAATGTTCACATTTTGTAACCAATCAGCTATGTAACTGTGCAAACTTATATAATAGTAAAATAATTTTGCATAGTAAAGTGTATAATGCAGTAATAAAATGCAGTGGTAGGAGAAACACTCATACGCATTTAGAGTAAAACAAAGAGTTTTCTCTGAATGCTCTTTATTACCTTCTCTGAGGCTAAGAGTCCCCCATAATTGCCCTAAAGGAGGTACCCCTTATAATAAATAATAATAAATATAAAAATATTGAGAAAATCCGGAGGATTCGAAGCAAAGTCGAATAGTAGTGGAACCTTACCTTTGGACCCTGACATGGTAAAGTTATACAACCTTGAATTCCACGGAATCTACAGGACATCTTTAGAAAATCTGGAGGAGCCATGATGATTCGATCTGCACACTGGGTACTTCCCAAGCAAACGCCTAAAACCACTGAACCAAAATGTTAAAAAAGTAGTTCTGGTGGGCGTGGTTATCACAATCACAGTACAGCATAGCAATACATCCCAGAGTAGTCAGTTCTCAGTGACATCCGACACAGCAAACACCTCCCAATATATTACGCACATTGCTAACTCTAGCCCACAAACCTGCAATCATCAGATTCCTGGTCACTATACACAGCACTGTGTTCACATACCTGAACTTTGAACACAGTCTATCAGTCAAGATCTTCTATGACACTATCATAAAATAATTGCACTTATTTATTTCAGCACTAATGCATTATGCCGTGGGCAGAGCCGCAAGGCAGTGCTGTCAGCTGCATGTGCTGCTCATGGTCACTCTCAGTACTGAGAGTGGAGGGGTGGGGTGGGTGGAGGGGTGGGGTGGGTGGAGGGGTGCTCACATTTTTTTCCCAAGATGGTGCCTTTACTGAAGGCCTGAAGAAGTTGATACAAGTCCAGTGTACCCACAGGCGTTTTAAATCTTATGCGGTACTTTAAAACATCCCTGGTTGTGTTGCACATCTTGTGGATAATTAGGGAGAGCATCCCTAGTTGAAGTCACACATCCTTCTAATTGTGCACCCTAAATTAGGTTGATTTCCTGGTGTGAATAAAAAGTACCCAAGGATCATCAATAGATGATAATTGCGGCCTAAGGGTTAAAGATTGTGATCTCATTTCTGTGAGAAGATTTACAAAACATTGGATGGTTTCTCTTGGATGTAGAGGCAAGGGCTACTGATGTGCATACAGAGAAAAACTCCCGTGAAAAACCACGTCTGTAGGAAACAATTTGTGTTGGAGTTTCTTCATTAGGTTCCTGTTGCTTGTTTCAGTGAATAGTGAAGCAATGCAAAAAATTTATGTAGGAAAATCACAAAGATTTAAGCAAAGAGGGAACAATAAATCATAACATAAGGAAATAAAAGTTATCACAGTAAGCATAAATGTACAGTATTGACTAATCTTTTCACCCCCTTCCCCCTCTCCCCAAAAAGAACATGCTATAGTGATAAAAAAAAAAAAAAGCTTATAAAACAACTTAAACATACATCAAGTTTTCTTTTTGATGTGGCAATGGAATCTGTTGAGCGTACAGTCAGCTTCACATCTTTACTGGTAGTGGACAGTCGCACTTTAAGAACAGTCTCTTCTCCTTCCACGCTTGCTTCTGAAAAGCAAAACAATTGTCAGTTTTTATTATCACTCACAAAAGCACATTTAGTATATTGTATTATAATTAAATTTAGTAATGAAAGCAGAAAATTTAATTCAATGGTTAGGAATTACAGTGTACTGTACATATTTTACCAACTGAAATATGCAACATTACCAAATACTGTACTGTGGTCAATATGCAGCTAGACACCAACCATCAATCAGAAGAGTGAGAACGAGATTAACAAAAACATGGCCTACTATAGAATTCCCACTGATGAATAATAGAAATATTTTAAAGAAAAATGGAACAAAGTGTTTGATTTAACCATTCCATCGCGTGCTTGGGTTAATCATGCTAATTATCCGTAAACTGTGGGACACAGACGAGGCAATTTGAATGTATTGCGTAAGATTTGTAATTCCCACATGTAAATGGGGCTTACATGTTTTCTCAGGTCTTCATATATAGAGAACACTTGAGAGGGTGTGTAGCGACTTCATTTTAACGTGTTCAAAGAGTTAAGTAAGGGAGCCAAGTGTCGGCTGGCACTCAGTTTTGTTATTGTTCCAATTAGTGATTTGTATTGAGTAATTAGAGGTGGAAGATAGTTTTGGGTAGTAGAACCCCAGGCATATACCATAGGAGAGATGAGGATAGATCAGCGAGTAATAAAGCATTAGAGGTGGAAGATAGTTTTGGGTAGTAGAACCCCAGGCATATACCATAGGAGAGATGAGGATAGATCAGCGAGTAATACAGCATTACCAAGGCAGGGCAAGGTACTGTACATTGTATCCAATTTTAGAAAGAATGCCAACTGTTTTATAATTTTTTTTGGCCACATTTAGTATGTTACTGGAAATCCAACTTGATGCCAATAAAAACACCAAGGAATTTATCTACTCTGTTACTAACTTGGATATTGTTAATTCTTAGGTTAATTTGATCGGTCAATTTACTGTACAGTATTACCAAAGTATAGAAGAATTATACAATTTTATCAATGTTAAGGGTAAGTTTGTTATCAGTTAGCCAAAGATGGATTTTTTAGTTAAGTATTCAATGTGTCATTTAAAATCATAGGGGTTAGGACTGAAGAAAATGAAGGTTGTGTCATCAGCAAATAGAATTGAACATTCAGCTCAACTCATTTGGGAAAACAGTTAAAAGAATTGAAACTGGGTACTTAAACACAGCAGTACAATAAAGAGACATTTAATAAACAGAAAATGCAAATGAAAATAATCATCCCGAATCTCGTATCATTTAACAAAATAGTGCTCTCTGGAAACTGTCCACTTAACGTCCCCACCAAAACTGGATCACACGTCATAGATATAAACTAGCTAAACACAGATGCCAAAGAAATATAAGAAAATTCACTTTCGCAAACAGAGTGGTAGACGGTTGGAACAAGTTAGGTGAGGTGGTGGTGGAGGCCAAGACCGTCAGTAGTTTCAAAGCGTTATATGACAGAGTGCTGGGAAGACGGGACACCACGAGCGTAGCTCTCATCCTGTAACTACACTTAGGTAATTACACAGGATCCTAAGCCCACCTGTATGTGTTACTCTGCCAGCTCTACAGGGCTCTAAGCTTACTTTGTAGTCAGTGAAAAGCCACAATGTGTCCCCCTAAATACAGGAGCAAATCAAACTGCAAATTCATCATTAGCTTTGAAACTCAGTATTCATATATATTACCACAGATGGCACAAGCCTAGTAACGTTAACTTTAAGAAAACAATATCTTTGGGTTACCTCAGAGTTCTCCCTTAAATATCATTAAATCTGATAAATAATGTCACCAGAGACCACACACGAAACACCCATTCATACACAGTATGAAATCGAAATAATAACGGTAATAATTTACCTACCAATACTTGTCCCATTGAACAACCTAGCCACAAGGCAGAGAGGGAGGAAATAATGACCCTCCTTGACTTTTCCACAAGCTGTCACTCATCATTTGTTTCATAGTAAGATGATCATCAGATGTAAACTTTACTATCCTCATACATTCCTCATCGGCATTCACACGTTACTTTTATTAGTAAGTCTTCTTGGCTCTTTCCCTTTGTTACCTTGAGGTGCTTCCGGGGCTTAGCGTCCCCGCGGCCCGGTCGTCGACCAGGCCGCCTCCTACTTGTACCCACAGCTGTGTCCAAATACCACTCCTACCAGGTAATTGAGGGGACTATGCACAACCGGTGCATGCTCATATCGATGTGAGAACACTGCCTGTCCTCCCCCCCCCTCCACCTTTCCCTTCACTGCAAAAACTATAAAATGCAATAAAATCAAAATTTTAAGTTTTTGCATCCTTACAAACCTTCTTGAAATTAACATGGGGCTGTTTTATGTATATCGAAGTAGGAGTATGCCTCATACTAGATGGGATTTTTTTTTTAATAGACTACACATGCAACAACTGTTTCTCTGTTACAGTATTGGCAAAACACACTTAAGTAATGTCTTATATGCCTGATGGACCCAAGGCCAACACAACCGTGAGAAACTATCTACCTGACACAAGCAATGAGGTTTGTTTATGACACTACACTACACTACCTGCCACTCGGTGCAAAGCAAGCCAGATCACAACAGAACATAGGGAACAGAAATGCAAATTGATGATAAGCACTATGGTGCAGGGAGTGTTGCATTACACTAAGCATTAGTGCCTATTTTAAAGACTCTCCCTCTTCATAACCCCTACTGACAGCAAATAAGTGATATTTATGCATAACATTGCTAGTGATATATATTAGTGAAGTGCAACTACAAGACTTGGACTGATTTAAATGAAATATGTAAATGCAAGGTATGTGTACAGTGATACACACATCTGCCTCACATGTATCAGTACACACATTATATGTACTGATACGTGTGAGGTTGAAATAAAAGTTGAAATTGCAGGTTGAAATAAGCAAGATATGCTAGAGGAGAGAAAACCAGTCAGAAGTTTTGAAGAAATTTGACGCTGGAAAAACAAATTGCAAGCTGACAAAATAAAGGTATTTACTGTATCACAAAGTCAAGCCCTGATTATGCATTACTTGACAAGCAAGCTTCAAACTAATCAGTATGATACTTCTGGTAACTAAAATTCACCCTTATTTTTCTAGACAATAACAATAGTTTATAAATGGGGATACTGTATATATTATACACACGTAAACACACGCAACAAATATTATACCTCAAATTATTCATGATTTAAGGGAACTAAACATTATATAAAATGTAATACTGTCCATACAATTACACTTTCATTATTTCAAACTATTAATAATAAAAGGTTAGTTATAAATTTAAAATGATAATGTATGGGTTAAGGACGCCGACTTGGAAGATTTCACAAAAATATAAAATGTATTAATAGCCACGATTTAAGTAAATAGGCTAGTCAATGTTATTGGACTTCTGATAGAGGAATAGACAAACATTTCTGTTTCACTTTGAGAACAGTACAGTATTACGGAACTAACGTACACAATCAATGAATAGTGCAGAGTGGCTATAATACACTGTTAGAAAAATTGCATCTTTTACATTATTATACGTTAATGCTAACATGAATGGTCACAAGTCAAACTTATAACTTGCTATTCCTGAGAAGGGTTAAATTACACTAATGCTCTTAATCATTTAATCATCTAACCACTTGGATTGATTGGTAGAGCGACGCCCTCGCTGCTTCCTGAGTTGACGCTTTCTCAAGCAATGAGTGAATACAAAGAGTACTGGGAAAACGGGAAACTGTTATCCCGAAAAACGGGATAAAACATGTAGCTCTCATCCTGCAACTACACTTGGCTAATTATTGATAGTTATCATAGTGCTATAAACTCATACTGACTTAACACTTTCTCCTCATAATTACCTTACCTTTTCCTCAATCTTTTAGTTTACAAAAACAAAAGGACAATACTGTGTTTAAATTTAACCTTATTTATAACAAATTACGATTCTTTAATAGCAGCCAAGAACACGCACAAGTTGATAGACATTTCATTGATAAACACAAGACAAAGTTAGAGAAGATTCGGAGGTATGCCACCAGGCTAGTCCCAGAACATAGAGGAATGAGCTACGAAAAAAGACTACAAGAGCTAAACCTCACGTACCTGGAAGACAGAAGAGTAAGGGGGACAGCCATGATCACTACCTACAAAATTCTCAAAGGAACCGACAGGGTGGACAAAGGCAAACTATTTAGCATGGTGGAACATGAAGGAGACACAGGTGGAAGCTGAGTACCCAAATGAGCTACACACACACATTAGAAAGAATTTTTTCAGTGTCCAAGTAGTTAACAAATGGAATGCACTAGGCAGTGATGTGGTGAAGGTAGATTTCATACACAGTTTCTAATGCAGATATGATAAGAGCCCAGTAGGCTCAGAAATCTGTACACTAGTTGACTGACAGGCGCGAGGTGGGAACAAAGAGCCGAAGCTCAACTGCAAGCACTCCTAGGCGAGCATACAACTAGGCGGATATAGCAATGCAGACTTATTAACCTAAGTACATGATAATAAAAGCCTTTTAAACAATTAAACATTAAGGACTGAAAACTAAATGGATAAATAATGATCAAGTATAAAGCATTCCAAAAAAGCTGGGCAGGAACATGCACTGATACCAGTGGTTGGCTCCAGAACAAGTACATGTAAAAGAACGGTATAAGATAGGGAAGGAGAAAGTAGGATTTGAACAAAATTTTAAGAATATAACTGAACAAACTGTAGAAAGCCTGCCGATGTAAGGCAGCCCATTATTTATATAAAAACAAACATTTTTACACACATCTAACCAAAAGCACAAAATAATAGAGCAAAATGTGAAGACAATTTCAGCGAGGAGGAGGGTTTGAAGTACACAAGTGTACACGTAAGAATGCCTAATAGAGATTTTGCACTTACATCTTTGAAAATATTCTTGGTTAAGAAAAATTCTCAATTGTTCTACAATGAAAGACCCAATGTTGAAAGTAATGAAATGCCTCTTTCTGGACGTTATAAATAATCCTCATTCATAACTTGTTATAAATGTTTAATGCACATGGCTTCATAAGGCTTCATGTAATCATTAATTTTCTTTGAAATTGCTTTGGTATGGTATCATGGTGAATATAGTATACTATACAGTACTGTATTACCTTATGCACCAGGATATTTTAATGCTTGTACATTTTATAGACCAAGGGACATTCCTTCCCCCCCCCCCCATGAACACCTACCTCCGTTTTTTTTTTTTTTTTTTTTTTTTTTTTTTGCTAATACTGTCATAGATATTTTTTCATGAAGAAAATACATTTTTGGGAGGATAATTCTAAAAAAAAAATTCTAACACTTGTATGTTTGCATGTTCTGTGGCTACAATGTGCAGCATCAACAATTCTCACACCCCCATGCTCACACTCACATTGTGGCAAGAGAAAAATCTATATATTTGTAGGCACCTTTTTTGTACCATTCAACAGAGCAATCCTTTGCAAGCACTTGAACTCCAAAAACATAAAATACATGACAAACGGCCACACAAATGTAATATTGTTCTAAGCATCCCCATTTTCCTATAGTACAGTACCATTAAAGTAAGTCAAATATTTATTCAAACTATTTTTTGTTCTATGCTAAACAGCAACAATTTACAAACATCTTCACATGAAATAAGTTAGCACTGGGCACTAACCAGGAGCAAGTGTGCTAAACACGAGTATTTAATCCTTACAAGTAGGTTATCACACATTAATTCCTGGGTCAATGCGCTTTTAGTCATTTGCCGATTTCAGTTATTCCCTTTTACATCATTTTTATGCAAATAATGTAAAATGGTTATAACACACCTGTATGAAGTAATAGAATAAGCATCATTTTTTCATAGTTCTAGGATATCATTAATATTGTAATTGCTTATTATGCAATGTGTACTAGAAGCCTGTGATTATCATCAAATAACAATTTGGTGCTTCCCATCTGTGTGACTATTTTGTAGGACTGCATTGCAAGACAATTTGAGATGTGCCAGGAATAGATTTATATGCAATATCGGTATACATAACATATTGTAAGACCATAATATTCAACAACTGCTTTCGTTAATGTGTGCATAAAATGAGCAAGAAAAAACCATTTAACTCGAACATGAGTGAAAAATTTGAAAAAATACAAAGTTCAATTAACTACATTACAATATATATAACATTAATTGTTGCTAAATGATAGGTTATAAGTTTATTTCTAAGCAGGGTTTCCTGCTGTTCTCCAAGGTACAGTGGTCAACTGAAAAAGTATCCCCTTCAGTCACTCGGGAGAACATGGCACCGGCACTACAGCGATTATCGTCTCTGCAAGGTTGTATGAAAGTGCTACAGAGCCACTGGTAAAAGTATCAGTTCGGTAAACAAATGGAGACCAGGACCAATGGAGACATTGACTACTGTTTCTTTTACAGTAGTCAATGCTTGTACTAGATAAGCACAGTACTACTATTGACCAAACTCAAAGGAACAGAAAATAGATTAGCGAGCCATTTAGGATCAGACCCAGAAAAGTTCCTAGGAACCTGGCCCCTAACAGAACAAACCAAGATCCAGAGTTAAAAAATCTCAAGTCAGAGAAACTGATGAATGGAACACGCACAACCATGAGCACTCGACTGACTAAATCACCAGATGCATCCAGTGTACAGTACCTAACTTCAAGCTAAGTTGCTGATGTACACTACTTAACTGGTGGAAACCACTGGGCAACAAAATAAGCACTAGACATGGGATCAAAATGCCCACCAACTGACAGGAAATGCAGTCAGGGTGTATTTGAGAGTTCAGGGTATATTATGCCACTTGATGGTGGTAGATTGAAGTTTGTTAGCCAAGATTAGTGGTTAGGCAATTCAGCACCACCTACTACTGGCAAGTACACACTCTTAGCATGGTTCATATATAAATTTCGAGTTTTCAGGTTGTTTTAGTGACGTCCTAGAATTCTGATATGACCCTTCACAAATGCAATAGTCCCTGTGGGAGGTGCCATGTTACCCTGCATGATAAAGTGCCAATGTAATGGACAGCAAATCCCATCTCAGCAAGTGGCAGAATATACACGCCCAGAAATAATAATGATTGGATGCACCAGAAGGGTTTGAAAGCAATAGCTCCACTCAAGTGGAAACCCACTGTACTGTGTATCATTTATAACTAATACAGTACATGAAGGTAGATTCATTTCTGAATCATTAATCAAAAGGCTAACTTTTTATTCAATTAACCCTTAAACGGCTCCAATTGTTATCTATAATTATATACTGTGTCCGGACTGCCAAAAAATGCTTTTCCTTACATTAGTTTTGTGAACTATATTTTGTCATGCACACCATGATGTAGGACTTATTTGCCAAGCTGTTTAAGGGTTAACGGCCATTTCTAGACTTCAAAACATAACATACACAAAACTGTATAGTGCTACAGTAGTAATTTACACTTAAAATCCACATATGTGCATTTTTAATTATGTCAAAATTAAAAAGTAACTTGCCTGCTTCATTTTCACCGTCTTTATCAGGTGATCGTTGAAGGATGTTGAGTGGGTAGGACAAGCAATAAACAGGTAGCTGATACCTTGTTCCCAGCTCATCGTAGCAATCAGTCAAGGCACCTGCATTATTTAACACTTTATTATATCTAGCGCTAATTCTAGTCTGATAAGAATTGTGGAATTTTAGTATAAAAAATAGCCAATAAAATGTCATGCATGGAAGAATGGAAAATAAAATTTAATTTTACTAAATAAATGCCAAAACAATTAAAACAATATTTTGGGCTAGATTGATGAAAATTCTTACAAATTTGAGAAGTCATTGTGTGCTAATCAAGATATGTAAAAAGGGAAAGATCACAATCAACACAAAATAGTTAAAAAAGGAAGCTATCAAATTAGACAGTACTCTAGTCAATTCAGTCAGATAATGCCTGTTACTTGTGCTTCATTGAAAGGGGGGTTTGTGAAGACAATACTGTACCCAAACTCCAAATCAATGGTTAATGCATAATGTCAGGAACTAGAAGCCTGTATTTAGGCCTACTGATATTCCCAAAGATCAACAACTGACCTTTCCCAGGAAGGAACAAAATAACTGCCTAATTCCCATGCAACGGAAAGGTTGATGATATTCTTGAGAGATATAAGAATTTTGCACCAAGACTAATTTTTTGTTGAATTATCTGCATGTCTCTTACAAATTGTCTATACAGTATACCTAGGTCATGAAAGTATTTGTGTACGTCTGGTACCATACTACTTGTGTAAAGGAAGAAATGTTTAACTCACAGAATGTTTGGTAATATTTATTGTTTGTGATGTGTTTATATATATGTATTAACACAATGTACTGAACGGGGTGAGAATAGCTTGAGCTACCTCATTCCTTTGTGTGTATTTTACCTCAATAAACTTATTTCAATTTCAATTCCCATGTAACTATTTTATGGGCATGTCACGAGGCATCAGGTGAAAGGAAACATACCCAACTGTTTCTTTCCTGCTCAGGGATTGAGCCCAGGACCCTTGTTTGCAAGTAAAGGATGTAGACCATTGTGCTATAAGGGAAGGCCCAAGAATTATTGTGCCAAGATCATATGCTACAAAACCAATGCACTATACTAGGATACTTTAATTTCATTATAAACCTTAATGAGTCCTCTTCTGGCACCAATGGGGCCATACCAGCCAGGTGAAGAGGTGCTGAATATATAATATCTATACTGTGTCTACACTCACATTAATAAGATCATGTATTTTTTGTTTACAGTGGTGCCTGGTGGTAAGGATGCCCCTGGTGCATCCTATTAATGAAACTTGAATTTCAAATAGCATTACTATGAAATACTGAGCCAGAACTTCCTGATATCCTGAACACATTGTTAAACCCAGTTTTGAACCATCAGTTAAAACACACACACTAATATTTTGACAAAGCACTCGTAACTAAATCATCATCGATCATCATAAGCATTACCATCTCTGATTGCTTGACTGGTGGCCATATATCCTCATATTAACAGAATGTAAAGCCACCAATGAAGAAATTTATATTCAAGCCCAACAAATGCCTATTCATCATAGATTACACACTATATAGCATCACCTAATAAACACCATCCCATTTCAAGAATCATATAGCAGCCCCACACTTTATAAGACTAGATATACAGTGCTTGCATGTCACAATAATAAACACATCAAACACGCACTCCACAAACTGCTGCCACCCAGCCTTGTTCCCTACATCTTTCGTGCTAGTAGTACTCAATCACCACTCTCCCATACATTCATTATGACCATTACATGCATTTTTTTTCATCCTATCCTCAAATGCTGTACACTCTTTTCACCAGTTTATCACCAACTGGTTATAACACAGCCAAACTATCCTGGTGCACTTTCTTTCAACTTGCCAACCATTGTGATCCACACTTTTCCTGACCATGACATTTATAGTCCTTGCTCAATCTTTTCCAAACCCAATATACACTCTTTGGCCCTATTTTCTCGATTTTTTCACAAGTGTAGTCATTACCACTCCATGACATTCTGTGGCTATTTATTTCATTGCACAATCCACTTTCCTTCATAAAGCCATCAAGAAAATAACATGCATGCATCACACTTGGTGTGGTTGAACTGTGTGCAGATGTGCCCAATTATTACCCACCAGCTTACAACCTTGCCAAGGAGATGTAAAGTTAGCTAGGGATCAACGTCTTCCCTCAATGCTCTCATCATATCAAGTGAAATTTACTTCCTATCGAGATGTCGCAAAAATACCATATTATTAAAAATGAACCGAAGGAACAACTGCAGACCTGTGTTTTCTGAGCAGCAGTGTGAGAATCTCCACAAAGAAAGACATTACAAGGAAAACATCACCTCCAAGATCGTGTTCCCTTCTAGGAACTAACTTCCCTCTAATAGGGACAGCTATGACAAAAATTCAAAGCAATCCTATCTACACTATCCTGTTCTATACCCCCCTTTACATGTTCTGGACTCTTAGTGAATACTGTACATTTTATTTATGCAATTTTTTTATTTCCCTTCCTACGATGCTGGTTGTTTACTTAACACATGCTAACACGTGTCTTGGCACATGTCTACATGCTAATAACCAGAACCTAATATCAGGACATTTTCAAAACAACTTCACAATCTGCCACTCTCTCCAGACATCTAACCCATCTAAGTCTCTCTCTCTCTACATATTACCTTTACTACCCTACACCTTTACTATCACATTACTCACCACTTGCTTATGCCATAAATTTCTTTGATTTTGACTAATTTTGTCAAAGAAAATTACTTTGGCATTTCTTTGACATTTTGACTAACATTTTTATTTATCTACCTAACTATAGAGCCATGTTTCACTGACATATATGGAAGAATACAATTATGCATTTCTTTTCAAAAGGTTTCCTTTCATTGTCAATATCATGCATGCTGTATGTCCATTAAAATTAATCAAATATTGCTTTCAACTCCTCTCCTACACCAATAAGATTCTGTAATGCATCCCTTTCATAGATTGGCCCAAGAACATCACAAAATTAACTTCCTCTTTGCAATATATATGTATGTATGGCATCTTTACATGAAAGGAGCGTGATACCATTTTCCTTGGAAAGTTATACTTGACAGATTTGTTTTTCTGAATCATAAGCGTTAATCATCTAGTCAGTGCCATATACACTTCTTTTAGTTAAACACCTGCCCTACTTCATATTCTTTTCAAAAAGTATTAAAATAACTAAAAATGGTTTGCTTTTTATCATCTTGACAAATTATCTACTAGGTTCTTCAAAAAGACAAAAAACACACAGCACCTCTAGAGATTTAGAACGATCACATTAAGTTGATCACTTTAATGGACAATAGTTTTTACATGTTTCCAGTCAGATTTAAGATGATGTAAGAATGTGCTGTTCCTAAAAATATATTTGAAAATAAACACTATTTGCAAGCCCCTTCTGTAACCTTGATTTAAATCTATCTTTTTATTAAATTGTATATGACTACCACACTGCTTTTTTCAATTTTGATTGAACATTTCTACATCCCATTATTGTAATTTAATTGTTATTACAGTGGCTGACACTACATTTGCACACTACCCATTAATTTAACTTTTTTTTTCCAGCAAAGCAAGAAAACATGCTGTGATGAAAAATGTGAATATAGCTGTATGCCACTATATTCCTGAATTTGTGAATACGGGGGCATAGTTGAATGGGTTGGCCATCTTGAGATGCGACCCAAGGTGGTTCTTATGTACCTCTAGTCAGGACAAGTACTCCAAGGACTAGTGGTCTCCATTGTTCCGAAATTTGCAGACACATTTACGTGCGAGTTCTCCTTAAACCTCCAAATTTACCAACAAAATTAAGCACCCTTTAAAATGTCACCTCCAAATAGAGGAAATCTGTCATGAGGTGTCCCTATAAACAATCAACCCGAGAAGGAAAATGCGATACCAATATAATGAAAATTTTAGAATTTATTAGGAAGGGAGAGATGCATCCCGTTCTATTATGAACAATACAATTAAAGCCTTTTACATTTTTTGTTCAGACAAATTAAGAAGTAGTAAAGCTAGGGAAGGAATCAAGTCCAAAGCCATTAAGGTCGAGGAAGCAACAGTGGTACAAGCAGAAGCAGAAATAATATCAGTGAAAGGCTGGTTATTTATACAACTTCACACTTGTATTAACATCATTCAAAAGTGAGTATCGAGGGAGGTGGTCCAGGAGATTAAACACTTTCATTTTAACTTCATTTTTCTCACTCCTGCTCCTACTGTTGGTGGTCAAGCAGCAGCCAAAAAACTATTTCGAAGTTCACTTGTTATATTACACAAGGCTAAACAAAAGTATAAAGTTAGCAAGGTTAAGGTCACCAGACCTCAGGCATCAAAGAAAAAAAAAAATACCTACAATTTTGGATAAAAACAAAACTCCAAAAAATGTTACCAACTTCAAATACAGTATAATAGTATGATGTAATATTAATCATAAAAGCAACGGCTTGAAATAAATATAAATTTGGGTTTCATGATACAACAGTGTTCATGCCCCTTTCAAAATTTTTAGGAAAATGTATTTTTTTTTTCCCAGTTTTAGGCAGAAGTATAGCCTTTTTACTTTAGAATATATATGATATGATATACAGTCATGGTAAAAAATGATGTGGTCCAAGCATTGTTGCTACGTCACCAGAGGTTTCTACAAATGTATTGAAAATCCCACCACAGCATACTGACACCATGGTACCTTCTATACAAGTATCAGCTATGAATGTTCTGTGGTTTCCAAAGAATGAACCACTGATCATTGGGATGGATGATTCCAGTTCTCGGACACAATGGGAGTTGTCCCTTCGCTTCCCTATCCCACCCCTTCAGGAAAAAAATGTAAATGCCAATGAAAATTAAGAAACATTGCCACCATTTATGTACAGTAATATCACATCTTATTACTCAGTGGTTTTCATTATACTGTACAAGTCACTGAATATTTAGGCGACTGATGGATGTACTGGTGCTCACCTATGTGGATTTTGGATTTATGCTCATTACAGATATATTACTCAACGAATGTTGCTTAATAGCAATGAAAGGAAGGTAGGTATAATAATACACACTTTATACTGGTAACTTTCATCGACGGGTGATAAAACTACCTGGCTGAGCACATTGCTCCTGTTTAGATATACTTTTTGTAACTGGGCACCAAAGTACAAACATTTATGTACTAAGCAATTAGATAGTAGAATTTTGTACTATTCACTTTATAGTCCAAAAATTAGAATGTATAAACAAACTTAAATAGCACACGTGTACTATATTAGGCCTCGGATAGCGTGTATTAGGAAGGTTAGGTTACGTTAGTTTAGTTTGTCTTTGCAACAAATAGAAAATCGTTACAGTTTGTCCAAATTCAACAGTACCCATTTCTAGTTTCCAATTGTGTTGAACATCGATATATGTACTGTACTATGGTCCTCATCATTACTATATGTACTACCAAAACAGGAGGCTGGGCTGAATACCACATCTTTCCAATCACACGTGTCTTCCTGAAAACTGATATTTTTAAATCCAATTTGAAAACAACTTTCTTAGGTGGCTGATGACCCAACAACTTTCACCCAACATACTGCCAAAGCTATTTTTTTTTTTTTATCAAATTTTGTACTTCAAGGTGAAGGAGACAACAGCTGGCCTGCTACAAGACAGTAAAGTGATGTTATTTATGGAAACCATGACCCTCTCATCCAGAAGATTGTGAGCTAGCAAGTGGCAATATTACCTGTTGTTCACGTTCCCCCTCAAAATACCACTTCCAAGATCTGTCCCATGGACCAAGGCATCATTCAAAACATTAACATTTTTACCAAGGACTTGCAAGAGTTATCCCTGATTTGGAAGGAAACCTTAAGAATTTTACAAGAGATATTGACATTAAAACAGCCATATGGAATGTTGGTGTTAAAGAAACACTAGCACTGCTGGTTGGCAGTGTTAGAGAAACTTCCATCCACTCCTGAAAGAAGTGTTTTCTTCCATCCACTGGCTCAATGGAAGGAGAAAACTGTGCCAACCTCCACTCTCACCATCAACCAAATGTGGTGGAAGATTTTCAAGGTTTCCCTTTTAAAAATCTGCACATTCTGAGAAAACAAGACTGGAAATCCTTGGCTATGGTTTAGTTTTCCATAGTAGAGGACAAACTCATCAGGGTCCCTGTAGATGTTACATATTCCCCAGGATGTAACCCACCAAAAAGTTGTCTTAACTTTTGGGTACCTCAAGATGAACAGAAGCATCAGGTGAAAGGAAATGTTCCCCAAATACTTGTGTCCTGCCAAAGGAATTGAACCTGGGACCTTCAAGCTGTGAGCCGACTATGGCTATACAGAGGTTAATGGACACTGCAGGTAGCTGCAGATAAGTAAGTGAATGAGGGACTTGAGCCCTTACCAAACCTACCTTAGTCTTAAATGACTAAGATATTTTGTTGACTTGGTAAACAGAATTAGAGTTGGTAATTATCAAAAGAAGGCACCAAACCGGGAAGGCTCTGTAGCACCATCAAATGTGTGGATTAATCAGAGGGCGCTAAATATCACCAAGGATGCCAATACGAGAACAGAAACGCATGGGGCGAATGATATCAAAAGTATCCGATTCAGCAAGAATTGTACAGAGGGACAAGTGATCGCGAAGGACAGTCGGAAAGCAAGACACACGCTCGTCCTGAAAGTCAGGACATTCAACAAGGATATGCACGACCATAAGAGGGACAATGCAATGTGGACAATAGGGAGGAGGGCAGAGCTCCATTAAGTGACCACGAGTTAAGCGTGCATGGCCAATACGCAACCTTGCCAGAACCGTTTCCCACTGCCTGTTACAGTGGCAAGAGGAAGGCCATGAGGGCACACTACTCTTAAGAGTACGCAGTTTATTACCAGCAACAGAAGACCAACAACCCTGCCAACAGGCAAGGATGGAGGCATGAATAACTGTTAAAGAGCCAGACACGAACTGATGGTTCATAACATTTTGACAAGGGCTGCAAAGAAATCATGTCTTCTCTAACTGTTTAAGTACAATTTGCTATCTGTTGTAATGCTCAACAAGTGAGCCTGTTGCTTTATTTCTTGTACTCTCCTTTTCAATTAAAGAATGCACCACTGCTGAAGTGTCTTTCTCTACTCAAGAATAAATCAATAACTTCCCATATAACCAACAATTAACTACTTTAGCAGAGGGAAAACTACTTTTTTTTTATCAATTCTATAATGTGTTGGAACATATATTCCAATGAAAACTAATGGTTTTTCACCCAAATCCATCAACCTGTACAGTATTTCTTATGGCTTGTTCATGAAGTGTGCAAATATTATGTAAGCCACTGTAATATTGTTACCACCACTATTATAGGCTTATTATAGGTTATTATTACTGTAAAGAAAATAATTATTATTATTATTACTCCTGTATTATTATTATTGACAATTATGAATGTTGCTGTTACGTGAATAATTCACAGACTGGCACTTCTCTGCCTTTGCACCACAGTAATTAAATAAATTTTAAGAAGCCTCCCTCCTCCTTGCTAGTCATCTTTCTCTACTTTATTCTATCACTATTCCTCTTTACCTCCTATCCTCTTTTGCTCTCCCCCCACCTCTTCCCTAATGTCGCAGTGTTTGTCTTGCCCTTCCCTTGTACTATCCTCCTCAATGTCCCCTTCCACCATCCCTCGTCCTACCCACCTTTCTGCTGTTCCTTTCGTCCCCCCCCCCTTCTGTTGTCCCTCTTGTCCTCCCCCACTTTTTATCCCTCTCTTCCTCCTTCCATCCCTGTCGTCCTCCCCCCATCCCTCTCATCCTCCCCCTTCCCCCCCCCAATCTCTCTTGTCCTCCCCTCTTCCCTCCCATCTCTCTCGTCCTCCCCCCTTCCCACTCGTCCTCCCCCCTTCCCGCTCGTCCTCCCCCCTTCCCGCTCGTCCTCCCCCCTTCCCGCTCGTCCTCCCCCCATCCCTCTCGTCCTCCCCACTTACCCCATCCCTCTCGTCCTCCCCCTTTACCCCATCCCTCTCGTCCTCCCCCTACCCCCTCGTCCTCCCCTCTTTCCCCATCTCGTCGTTCCCCCCCTTCTCCTGTCCTCTTGTTTTTCCGACCTCCTGCCGTTGTCTCTCTTGTCCTGCATTCCCCCCCTTCCCTCCGACCTCTCGTCGTCCTCCCCCTTCCCCACGACCCTCTCGTCCTCCCCCCCCTTCCCACGACCCTCGCGTCCCTCCCTCTTTCCTCCAACCCTCTCAACCCCCCCCCTCCTCCCCCTTCCCCGATTCTCGTTCTCCCCCCCCCCCCCCGACGCTCCTGTCGTCGTCCCTCTCATCCTACCCCCCTTCTGCTGTCCCCCTCATCCTCCCCTTTGACCATCCCTTTCATCCTTCCATCACCATCCCTCTCGCCAGGACTTGAGTGATGATATTGCATGCTCTGATAGCCAGGAGTACAACTGGGTAGCCAAAGAAGCCCCTCTTTTGCCCAAAAGATACAAGACAAACTAAGTGCTCTGTCCTATAGTAATAGTCCTGTGATCCTGCTGGGCAACAGGTCCCCCGTGCCAAGATTGCGCGCACCTAACCAGAACGTTTCACGAATTTCTTTGTCTTCATTCAGTACTATTTATCTTGCAACAAATTAATCTATTAATCCCTCTTTCCCCCACATTCCCAATAACTCTTATGCCCAAGATGACCTTAACCCAGGTTAATCCTTAAGTAAAGCATAAACTGGGTATAATATGGGTGTAATAATATAAAGTTATAATATGGATGTAATAATATAAACCAAGTTATTATAAATTATAAATGAACTAATATTTGAGAATAAGATAAATAAATCAAGCCATCACTAATAATGAAACATGGATCTGTGGTGTATTTTGGTGTATGTGCAGTACTGTAACATTGTATGTGCAAATTTAGGTCAATTATGACCTAAAACATGGAAATATACATGATACAGTATATTGTATCATAATTGGGTCAGCATAAAACATTTAATATACCGTATTGTGTTGTTGCTATGTTCTGTTAATACACACCGTTAGGAAGTGTTATATTTGCTCCATCAATAATAGCTTGCGCTAAGTCATAGTCTTGATTCTCAATGGCCAGTGCTGCTGCTTTGAGAGCGTCCCATATCTCTTGACGACCCTCAAAGGCAGGAGCCGTGTCCCAAAACTCGTCCCGCTTGCTCCGTACCTGGCCCTCCGTCAGTGGCATGTCGGACTTCCATCTGATCCTCTCGTGCCGCAAAGGAACATTCTTTCCTATTGATGTACCACCTGAAGTTAGAAAAACTTGCTGTTTTATTGTAAATGTTCTTTATATTTATTCTCTCCCTTTGACTGTATGTTTAAAGATTCTATTTATATTTTAAAAGAAATATATTGTGCTGCAGTCAACCCCCCTATTTTATGTGGCATTATTTTACAAGGTTCACCTGAGAGTTTTAACCATAATTACATTGTATGTGCAAATTTTTTTTTTACATTAAAGTTCCCATTGTTATGGGTAGAAAAAGTTAAGTTTATAGATGTCCCATACTCAACAACTGACCACCTACAAGATGCAACCCACAACTGTCAGCCGACTACCAGGTAGTCGATATATTTACTGCTTGTCAGAATACAACAGCTGTAAAGAAATGTGCCCAAATGCCTCGCCCAGCACAGGAATCAAACTCGGTGCTAAACAGTTATGAACCGACTGTGCTCTCCACTGTGCTACATGTCGGCTCACTCTGAGCTTGTGCAGCAATGTGTAATCAGAATTAGTCATTCTCAGAACTTTCATTAAATATTGTATTTATAATCTTCATATGAATTTTGATTAAAAACTATCTACCTGTTAACAGGCATTTTTGGATGTACTGTAGTAAAGCTATTGAGCATATTTTTATTAATTTTTCATGCATGGTTTCTTGTTTTTAATTTGCGGAACAGAGCACCAAGTACTGATGATGTATAGAAACTCCAAATTTAGATTATACTGTACACTTAAGTGGAGATATACTAACATTTTACTTGCAAGGGCTTTATATCATATCGCATACAGTATATTGATACAAATGACTAATGCTAATAAAAGATAAAAAGTTGGAAGGACATGGTTACGGGGTTAAAAGGAAATACAAGGATCAGGGCAGGGTAAAATACGGGAATAAGGTCCAGAGTGGGGAAGGGAGGAAATAGCGTATAAAGCAGGATCAAGGTTCATGGTGGAGCATCCCGAGGAACAATTGCTATAAAGTGCTAATCCAGAATGACTATACAATACAGTGGAGCCTCAATTCAACGAACCTTGTTACAGCGAATCTCCGGTTGGAACACTTTCCATGCTGGATCTACTCAGCCGATTTGACAAACAAGAAGCGGGGGATGTGTGGATTTATTTAGGATGCTGGGATCAAGTACACAAATGGAGGCAACATTACAAGAAATAGTTGGGGGCCTTGATAATGCCACTGAGCATATTTAAAACAGAATTCTATGGTTCTCTTATATGCAGTTGCAGAGATTTTCATTCAGTAAAATATGGGCTATTTTTGCTTTAATAATGAGACAGATTTTGCAGGATACTCGATGTTGTTTAATCTGTCTACAGACAGGTTCTATTGGTCATTACGCTTCATATTACAGGTTGAAATTATAATTTCATTCAGTGAAATCAGCTCATAAGTCTCAAGTCAAGCCTGGCCTCGAGCCAGAGTTAGGAAGAGAACTCCCAGAACCCCATCGAGCAGGTATCATCGACCACAGAAAATATGAATAGTAACTCTTAATATGGCTCCAATCACATTTTCAATTATTTAAGTAGATGGGCATAATACTACAAGAAATAGTAAGGGGTCTTAGGAAAGCCATTGAGCATACAGTATTTCAAACAAAATTCAAGGTTTCATTTTAATTTTGAGATTCTCTGGTTTTCTTTCACAAATTCAGACCCTTTTTCCCCTTGAAAATGAGGTTTCATGGCTAGGGCGTGGGAAATGTGCTAGGTGTAGTTAACCATCTTTACAGACAGGTTCACTTGGTAGCTGTCCTTCATGTGACAAGTTGAAATTAAAATTGTGCTCAGTGAAATCAACCCGTATTGTCGGAAATATTAGGGTATGAATGGTAACTTTAATATGGCCCCAATCATGTTTTTGATGATTTTCGTAGATGGACTCAATATTACAAGACACAGTTGGAGCCTTTGGAAGGCTACTCAGGATATATAAAATCAAATTCTATTGTTTGTTTCAATTTTTAGTTCGCAAGGTTTTTGTTCACTTGGGTATGGCCCTGCTACCTTTTGAAAATGAGTTTCGAGGCTGGAGACGTGAGAAATAAGCTATACATGTGGTTAAATTGTTTTGCAGACAAGTTCAATTGGTAGTTGTCTTATATTATAGGTTGAAATGAGAATTTTGCTAAATGAAATTAGCCCATAGGGCATTCAAAATGCATCTTGGAAGCATCTCCGGTTACAAAGAATCCCTCACTGCAATGAATCGAGGTTGGTCCCATAACTAATCGAATTGAGTGTGTACTGTACAGCACACGTGAATAGTGTTGTGTGTTTTGTATATGCATGTATTCTTGCTCGTTTTAATTGCCGCATAATTACTGAAATGTAATTATGGAAAAACTAAGCTCATGGTGCACAAATCTATCTTATAAATTGTCTAAATCTCACAAATAGTTTTTAATAAAAATTTTAATTTTAAATCTAGTGTACTAATCGAGGACCAACTAAAAATTCTGTAGTACATGTATATAAATGACTGAAAATTGGGTGTGAGTAAAAATGCCAATTGCCTGCCACATTGAACCATGCCTATTATCATTGACCACAACACTAGCTTATCATGCATTGGGTTTAACAACCCGTCCTCTCACCTATTACATCATTTTCTTAAGAGTCGATTAATCCATTAAACAAGTGAATTACTGTATTGTAAAAATAACATTGTTTTTTAATTCATTAGCCTCAATACGTTGACCAGACCACACACTAGAAGGTGAAGGGACGACGACGTTTCGTCATCGCCTTCTTCACCTTCTAGTGTGTGGTCTGGTCAACATACTTTAGCCACGTTATTGTGACCTGCATGTTAGATGGGTTACTTGGGTTCGTACATTTGTGGTTAGGTAAAACAGTTACATATTTTACAGTGGCAAATAGAGAACGGGTGGGATGAACATACTATCCTCAATTTGTATTTGCTTAGAAGGCTGGTCCAAATGGAAATGGTGTGTTGTCTACTATGCGAAAATGGAGTTCTGCTGCATGAAGGGCAGCCAAATGTGCTGAAGTCAATGTGCCACTAAACATTCCAAGTGACTGAGGTGAGAATGTAGTAACATTTAACATAGTATGCTGTTTACAAAAATTTAAGTCAATGCATAAGAACCAGTCATGCCTGTTTAGTGCATATCATCCTATTAGAGAAGTGCTACAGTATATATTTATCATAATCATATAAATAAACCAATACAATTATTTCTAAAAACACTATGTGCACATTAAAATTTTTAAAATGTTGTAAAATACTATGCATATGCAAGTACAGTACTGTATCACAAGCCACCCACATGAAAGTGGACAAGAGGAGTAATGATACAGTATGTACAGTATCACAAACCAACCAATAAGCAGTAAACCAGGTGGCCCTCGTTTCTTACATTAGTATTACTACAGAGGACAAAGTAGAACTTTCTCCCAGTCATGGGTCTTCTCTTTGGCTACCTTATACTAATACATCCCCCCCCCCCACCTCTCTTCCTACTCGAACCTCACTATGAAATTTTTTTCCCCATGTCCTTGCAAGTCGTCGTTATATGCTACCATTTCCAATGCTACAGTGATCCTCCACACTTTGTCAGGAACACAGCAGTTGCGCACTACGTATATGGTACCAATGCTACAACTAAATCATACAATGCCCTTGGCAGGACCAAATAAAAATGCCAAGTCAGAGTGGATAAGCCAACCAGCCAATCTTGTCTCAAGCCCAAAGCAAAGCAATCAAAGTAACATCAAGTGTATAACTGTAAAAGTAATCAAAACTGTGCCTATTACTGCAATCCCAAACCCAAATCCCTTGGGTTTCCGAACAGGAAGAACAACATCCTTCAAACCAGTCCTTGGGGACCGACGACACTTTCCAAACACTGTACAGTTACAAATATTCAGCAAATATTGAAAAGGGCACTGATGGAGATGATGAAGCATCTTATAATGGGGAACTAACCATTAGCCCCATTGAACTGTATCACAGTCCCCGACCACAGGGACTGTTACAGTCCCAGTTGTGTAGTGTTAAGACGTTTGCCTGGCATTTCGCGAGCGCTTTGTCCGGGGTTCGTATCCTGGCCAGGGAGGAATTACTGGGTGCAAATCCTTAACTGTAGCCTTTGTTTAACCCAACAGTAAAATGGGTACCTGGTTGTTAAATGATTTTGCGGGGTCGTAGTCCAGAAAACAGGATTAAGGACTTGCTCGAAACTGTGTACTAGTGGCTGTACAAAAATGTAAGAACTCTTGTGTGTAATTACCTAAGTGTAGTTACAGGATGAGAGCTACGCTCGTGGTGTACCCGTCTCTCCAGCACTGTCATATAACACTTTGAAATTACTGACGGTTTTGGCCTCCGCCACCTTCTCACCTAATGTGTTCCAACCGTCTACCACTGTTTACGAAAGTGAATTTTCTTTTATTTCTCAGGCAGCTTTGTTTCACGAGTTTAAATCTATGATGTTTTGTTCTTGAAGTTCCAGGTCTCAGGAATTCTTCCATATCAATTTTATAGATTCCCGTTATTTTGTATGTAGTGATCATATTGCCTCTTTCTTCTATCTTCTAGTTTTTGCATATTTAATGCCTCTAACCTCTCCTTGTAGCTCTTGTTCTTCAGTTCTGGGAGCCACTTAGTGGCATGTTGTTGCACCTTTTCCAGTTTGTTGATGTGCTTCTTTAGATATGGGCACCACACAACCGCTGCATATTCCAGCTTTGGTCTAACAAAAGTTGTGAACAATTTCTTTAGTATTTCTCCGTCCATGTATTTAAAAGCAATTCTGAAGTTAGAAAGTGTAGCATAGGCTACTTGCACAATGTTCTTTATGTGGTCCTCAGGTGACAGTTTTCTAATTAGAACCGCCCATAGATCCCTTTCTTTGTTAAAATTCTTTAAAGATTTCTCACAATTTATAGGTTGTGTGGGGTCCATGTTCTCCAATTCAACTTTCCATAACATGGCATTTATTCACATTAAATTCCATTTGCCAAGTGTTGC